CTTATCTAGGAGCCTTTTTCAACTCCAGTCACTCCAATAATCCTGGAGGAAGCTCCTTGATTAGCATCTGACCTCCACTGCAAAAAACGATCAAGAAAGAAGTCAACATTTCTTAGATTAAGTGTATTTAGCCTTTATTTGAGCACGTAAATAAGATACTCTGCCAATGGAATGAGTATTTCTATGCTTAAAATAAGATAATTAGATAATATGCACTGAAAATAAGACAATGCAATTGCTTTTTCCTATTTTAAATGTAAATTACCTTGTTCCATTGGCAAAGTGTCTCACTTACCTCCTCAATTCAAGAAACAATTCACTTATTTTAATAAAATTTGACTTATCTAGATTTCGATTTTTTTCCAGTGTGGAATGATCAGGAGGATAGACCTTCATGCTGCTTAAGAACATCAGCGCACCAACAACTGATTGATCTGGGGCGAGTCGACAGCATTGAAAAAGACTCCTGGATAGGTGTCAAAAAATGAACGAAAGTCCGACTGTCTTCCAATTTAGGCCTGTTGTGGTTGAAATGACTTGGATGACTGAGAATTTAAACTCTGGGAATTTACACTGGCATTTACCGGAAATGGTTTAGGAACTGCAATAGCATGTAACAGAAAGGGTGGTGAGAAAAGAAGAGGATAAATGTTAAGCGAGAGAGAGAAAGATGGATGGAGAAAGAAAATATGGAAGGAGAAAATAAAGTAAAAAAAAATACAAGAAAACAAAAAACATTCAAAATATACTGTAGCTCCTACAAGCTTTCTGCCTTACCAGCATAAAACAAGGGTGAATAAAACACACTGGCCACAAGAAGAGCTAGTTTCCCATAGACATCCAGTCTATACAAGTATTTACAAAGAAAAACCTATATATATCTGTAGTTTCAGTATCAGTGTATATCCATGGACACCTGGAAACAAACACCAGTGGTATAAATGCATGAGTTGGCATGTGTATAGTGGGTTTATGTGAGTTAAGAGGAGGAATTCCCATCGCAATAGACGTCTAAAGTGCTCTGCTGGAAGCAGGAGCGGGTAACACGTCAGCTCCTCTCTTCCCACTGAAACAGGTGCAACGATCCCACGTCCCTGGCATCAAAGGGTTGGTAAACATTCGGTTCTCAGCTATGTGTGCGATTGCCTGACATAATGGAGAGAGCTGTGCATTCCACTAATAGAATAACAGATAAGATCAAAGACTCCAACCTGCCAAGTAAGTCCCGTTCTTTTTCTGCTAGTAACCTAGTACCTATTTGGAGCTGTGGAAGAGCCCTTGCAACAGAAGTTTTCCCTTCAGACTCCCCTTCTTTCCCTGCATTAAAGCCCAGCCTGTTTTCCAGTGTAGTCCTGTTTCTCTGGCTGGATGTGCTCTCTTCATCCCCTGACATGGGAGCTTTTTGTATCTCTGCTTCTGTCTCCTCGAACCCCAGTGGGCCTCAGCAGATGGCCGCTCACACTGAGCCTGGTTCTGCTGGAGGTTTCTTCCTGTTCAAAGGGAGTTTTTCCTCTCCACCGTCGCTACAAGCACGCTTAGTGTGAGGGATTGCTGAAGACTCAATGAGTCGATGCAATCAACTGGTTTCCCTTAGATAGAAAATTTTGAATTAATATGACTGGATGATGTGGTTGAACTGTAAAGTTCCTTGAAATGACATGTGTTGCGAATTGGCGCTATTGAAATAAATTGAATTGAAAACTGAATTGACCTCGTCTTTTTTTGGGTCCGGTTGACCTGGAATAGCAGCCTGAGGCCCACTCTCCTAGTGGTGAGATTCGTGGATCGCTTCCATCAGTCTAGACCATTGCCATTTCCTTGCCTTCTATTTCACCAAGAAGGCTAATCAAAATGTCCCGCCAGAAGAATCAAAGGACTTTTAGAGTCTTGCAGATGTGATTGTAGATCAAAGTTCTCCTCTGGTTGTGTGCAATTGCTTAGTAGATGGCTCCATCCCTTCTCCATCTCAGAGGACATAAGAAATGTGTCACTAGAAGGTCCTATAAGTGTGAATGGACTCTTCAACCCCTATTTTGGAGCAAGTTACCAAATCCACTCTGCCCTGGCACTAATACCTCTCACTTCATTTTAATGGAGGACGGTCAAGTGAAGACAACCCTTGGTTGCTGCCACAGCTTCCCCAGCTCGTCTATCCACGGGCGGCACAGCACTTCCTCCAGCCCAGTGCCTCAAAAATGAGAAGCAGGTGCGTCTAGTTTTCCATCTGACCTCCAGGAACAGGACACAGGGGCACCAAAAAAATGGCCTGGGGGTTGTTTGGGCTTGCATGGAAACCACTGCATAAATTACCTGAGAGGTGTTCGACATCTGCAGACATCTGCTCTACTGGACATGGATACATCTTCTCTACAACATCCTGAAAAAAGGAACTAACATCATGATAAATACGATTGGAGCCTCCATCCTAAACTGCCTATGAGCTGGAGCAGAAGCAGGAGTGCACTGAGTCGCTACCCATGACGCTGCACAGTGTCAGAGGTAGTTTTCATTTTGAGGAACCACTGTTAGCATTCCGTTGCCACAGACGCTGCTATGTTGTTCTTCCCACCATGCTGGCTCTAAAACTCCTGGAAATGGATCAGACGCTTAGGGTTGATACCCACTGGAAGAGTGAGTGATTTATCTGTATATCAGGTGGCTCATTTCTATCAGAGATTATAAGAGAACGTCAGCACAGTCATACCTCCCCAGCCCTGCTTCAAACCCAAAGCATTAAAGCTTTATTTATGGCTCCCATCCTGTCAGACCGACCTGCTTCTTTGTTATGAGGTAAGCATGGCTACACAGTGTCACACCTTGCATCAGTTTGTGCTTTATGGAGATAACGGTAGGACAGCATCTCTCTGCTCAGGGCCTTTTACACTGCTTATCAGAGGCTTTGTTTTGCTTTTTTAATTTAATCATCATTAGAAGTTCAGAACTTGCAACACAGAGAGGATTTCCTCCAGAGCAGCACACAGAGGGATGAGAGAGGAAGATATTTGCAGGACAGCTACTTGGTCATCTTTGTGCTCATTCGTTTGTTTTGATGTTTCCTCTATGATCCGTTATACTCTGAATTCTGACTGATTATTTGATTATCTTTTTGTACTTTAGTAGCAACAAACTGCTGCCTGTTAGCAAGGGGTAAAATCAGAGTTTTTATGAAGCCTCAGACTGTGACCTCTGCCATTGTATTCCTTGAATTTCATCTGCCCCCCACCCCACCCCCACATATATAAACATATTCAGATTTTATTCTGTGTATTCAGACTCTTATTTTTCAATATACTTATACCTTAATTCAGATTCCATTCCTACTGTTCAGACTTTCATTCTATATAATGAGACTTGAATCTATACTTTGAGACTTTTATTCCTTATATTGTGAATTTCATTCTATATATTCAGACGTTCATTCTGTTTGTTAAGTGTGTTTAAGAAGCACATCTAGAGAGGACAGCTGGAGATGTTTGTAGTTCCGTGGAGCTGGGTTGGTGAATGAGTTACATGTTGTGGTCATTCTGCTTAAAGTACATATTTTGTTTGTTAACATTTAAGAGAAACTGTAACACTTTTATTCCATATATATATCTTACTTAGATTTTCTTTTTTAAATAGTGATATTTTCCTCATATGTATGCAGACTTTGATTTCATATATTCAGTTTTTGGTACGCATATCTGACTTTTTGTCAGGTTTTTGGGGTGTTTTGATTTACTATAGGCTGCAGGTCTGTTTTTTGTTGTTGTTAAAGATCTGATATTATTAGACTAGGTAAATATAAATAAAATAAATACACTAAAAATGATTCTGTAGATATTATAACTGTTTTGTAACTTACTGACATTTAACTTTGGCTGTCATTTTAAAAACCTGTATGTTGGGTTTTAATCCAGAGAAATGTGAGTTTAAAAGATTAAGAGGAAATGATCAAACACAGACAGGGTTTTGGAAGGCCAACCTCTGCAAAGAGGAGAGAATCTGCAGGCTCCAACCAGCACACACTCTCTCACAGATCCCTTCACAGCAAAGCCTTTTATTAACAGTTTACAACATAATAGGGCGGGCCTTAAACAGAAGACCCAGTTATGATTATCTGGCAGGATGCAGGTCATAAGATAGTGTGAAATGACCATCTGGCTGGATGGAAGTCACACAACCGTGTGACTCTGCCTCATGACCTACTGGATGCAGGTCATAAAAGTTTGTGACACTTCTGATTGAATCACCGGATAGAAATGTAGCATCTTCTTTCTTTCAATGTTTCATATGTCCACACAATAATTGTATAATTATCACTCTAACACTGTAATTTCAAGTAAAGAATGTATGTTAAAATCATCTTTCTGCTGCATCTGGAGGTTCTACTTTAAGAGTACAGCATCTGATTGATCTACATCTATTCTGTTCATTCTGGCACTGCTTTTATCAGACCAAGGCTGAACAATATTATTACACGTTTAGATATTAATTTAAGAAATGAGAGTAAAAAAACAAAACAAAAGAAAATTAGATAAATAAATAAGCAGAAAAAGGAAAAGCAAAAATAGTAAAATTCAAAGAAGAACAACAAAAGAGTACAGATAATGACAGCAATTCAATTTTAAAAGGGATTAAGAACAAGAACGTTTATTCGTCAGTAATTACAAGTTGATTTCAGTAACCTGTTCTTGAAAAGCAACCAAAACCTCCTAAAAGTAAATACTAAACATATATATATATATATATTACCAGACAAAAAAGTATTTAAATACGTTAACATATCCACCCAAACCAGTGGGAAATAATACACATATTTAATCAAACTATTAACCTACAATGTCATCTATCCATTTACCAACTCCTTCTGTTAAATGTCATATACCACTTTAGACATCAATACAAATACAATAAATTGTGTTTTTATTGCGTTTATATCTTAAATAAAGCAACTGGTTTCGTTTCTTTTGACCCTCGCGGGCTTCTGTAGTGTTTATGTGTTAATCCGGAAGTAAATCTGTCACCCGGCGACATAAAAATGGCGGAGTCGAAGGAGGAGGTTGACGTTTTGGTGCAGAGAGTTGTCAAAGACATCAGCAGCGCTTTTAAAAGACATCCTAACATGTAAGTGTGTTTGACTTTAGACGCCATCGGCCGTTTTGAGGGGAAATAGTGGACTGTGACGTCACAACATCCCGGATCAGATGTCCTACCAGCGGCTGGAAGCTGCACATAGAAACTTCTGTGTTTGACCATCCTGTTTAGTTTTCGTTTCTCCACGTAGAGACATCTTTCTATGAAACATTGCTGACCATGATAACAGAATATAGATGTATGATGGAAAGGCGTGTTAAGGGAAGCAGACCTCTAAATGTTCTGCATTGGTCACTATTTACCGCAAACATTTGCTACAATTTCCCTAAAATCCGCTTTTAATGGGCACTAAGGCTGCTTCCTGCGTCCGTTTTAATCCAGAAAATCACAGAAAGGCTCTTAAAATATTCACCAACAGCAAACAGGTTCAGTTCAACTCAATTTAGTTCCATTTTCAGGAGAAGAATGTGGATATTTGTTGTGTCGTGGTTTTCATCAATGCCATGGCAATATTTATCTGAATACTTAATATTGAATCATTTCGGATGATACAGAGATTTAACCGTAAATGTGCGCTTGTGGTCTGATGACATGCCCTCTCTGGGTGGGAGGGAGGGGGAATAAAGTCAGCTGTCTGTTTCTGAACC